ATTGCGCGTTTTACAATCGCGAGATAGACTAAAATGAGGATGATTAAAGGTCGGCAATCGGTGAATCATCAGATCATGATAATGATAGCCCGATAAGAATTGGCTTATCGACAATTATTAATCGCAATTATTATAGTGACCGCGCGCGTCTGATATAAATAGCGTATGTCATTATTGTCCCTGTTACGTTCGTGCCATTTACAAAAGAATAATCTTTACGATTGATTCTTGAGATTGAAGGGTACTTGCTCGTTAAAAAAAAAAGAGTATAATTTTTGCACAGAAGTTTCGTTTGCATTAATGAAAATTACTATTTTACAATTTTTGAAAGTTTTACAATTGTAATAACTATTTCAATTGTCGATTTTTTTTTTGGTTTTTTACAGCCAAGCTTCTACCGATAATAGAAACTAATAGAAATTATACAATATGGTTTTAACTGTTATATGTACAAATGCAGGCGATATACATGTTCCTTTCAATATTTTAATGGAGATAGAGAGATTCGCGAGAAATCAAGACGTGATCTGGATACAATGAATTATCCGACAATCGAGATCCCGTATCGTCCAATTAGGAACTTCAATCTTAAATAGCATTCTTTAATCTTTAATTAGTTAACTGCGCCTCATACAAGCGGCTTCTTTCCTTCGTTTTAATGTCACCGGAGAAACGTATCGATTATATTCTCCTGCAGTTTTATCATTCAAATAGAATTACCGATCTCGTTCCTACAGATAATCTTTAAATTATTTTTCCGAAATGTTATAAAACTGAAGAGAAATATTAGATATGTTCAAGTATGTGGAACAAGTCGTATGATTCACATTTATGATTCATACAATAGTATCGAGGCAAATCGAATTAGCTTCTAGTCTCGTCGTCTTCAGTTTTTTTTATATATTTCTACCCTACGTTCTACAATCTACACCAATACAAATTTCTTCTCTCTGAAACTAAAATTTTAATCAATAATTTCGAATTAAAAAGCAATTTAAAGCCAACGAATTCTCTCGTCATTTTTAGCTTTGTTTGTGCTATTACAATTTAACGTCAGATTAGCGAGTTTGAACATGCCGCACTAACGGGATAAATATCGAGAGGTTTTCTATTCTTTATTTCTTCAATAATTACATATCCGGTGTGCTAGAAATTCCGCATCAATGAATTCAAAATGAAAAGGCAAAGCCGGCATGCCAAGAGCGTTTGTTAAATTCAGTTATTTGGTGTCCTTCCTCACTCGGTTTCGTTTATACACGTCCCGCTGTGATATTTCGTGGCGATGACACAATTCGGACATGTGACCCTTGGATTTCGTTGGCGTACCCCTCCCATTGCGTAGCGAGTATTCGAGTGCTACGAATTTCACGAGCGTGTGATTTGGAGTGATGAAAATGCAGTACGTCAAAAGGAGCGAGAGTATGGCACGTCCAACTTCCGAGTTGATGGCGTTGATACATACGCCACAACGCAACGGGCAACGGTAGGATAATAGGATTTTTATCTGCCGTGCGTCGTCCTCTCGACAGTCTCGACTCTCGTCGGCCGCAGGCGACGTGAGCTGCGACGCAAATCAGGAGTAATCAGAAGTAGGCACGGCACGGCACGCAACGCGATGCAACGCGACGCAACGCACTGCAACGCAACGCAACGCAACGCAACGCAACGCAACGCAACGCAGCCATATACCTGATGTGTACCTACGCTACGGAAGACGGCAACAGGTGTGCGCGACCGGACGATTTGCGGCGTTGCAAGATACAACGGTGCTGTTACGACTTACGACGGCGACTGATCTCGTCTCGTGTAATTCCCTGAGCATCGTGG